CCGTGGCGAACAAAACTTGCTCTCGGATTGCATTTTTGCGCGCCACCACCGCCAGTTCTATTCAGAGATGCCTCTCGGCACGCTCCGCCCCCTCGTAACTGGTTGGCAGTTGGTTGGTGGCCTGGTTGGCTGGCTGGCTGGTTCTTTGGCTGGTTGGCTGCTTGGTTGGCTCGCTGGCTGGTTGGCTGGTTGGTTGCCTGCCTAGCTGGCTGGTTGGCTTGTTGGTTGGCCTACAGGCGTGCGCCATCTCACATGCCGAGGGGCCCGCCCGCTCGCGGATTGAATTTGTGTTATTATTACTACCACTACTACTGCGACTACGACCACGACCACCACTACGACTACGACTACAACTACGGTTGCTACTACTACTACTACTACTACTACTACTACTACTACCACCACCACTTACTATTACTACTACTACTACTACTACTACTACTACTACTACTACGACTACGACTACGACTACGACTACGACTACGACTACGACTACTACTACTACTACTACTACTACTACTACTACTACTACCACTACCACTACCACTACCACTACCACTACGATTACTACGGCTACTACTACTACTACTACTACTACTACTACTACTACTACTGCCACTACTACTACTACCACTACTACTACTACTACTACTACTAGTACTGCCACTGCTACTACTATTACTACTACTACATGTACTACTACTCCTAAAAATTAGCCTGGCGAAGGACCCAACCATATGCAACTGTGAATACAGCAAGTGTGAATATCGCGTTCGGCGGCGCTACCTCTGGGTAGTGGAGACGCATGCGAACACCCCCACTGGGGCCTTCGGTGGAGCTCCCTATGGGGCTACGAAACGCTGCCCTGGGTGGGGGAATCGCATGCAGGCAGCCCCACTGGGGCCTTCGGTGAAGCTCCCTGTGGGGCCACGAAACGCTGCCCTCGGTGGGGGAACCGCATGCGGGCACCCCCACTGGGGCCTACGGTGGAGCTCCCTCTGGGGCTACGAAACGCTGCCCTGGGTGGGGGAACCGCACGAGGGCAGCCCCACTGGGGCCTACGGTGGAGCCCCCTATGGGGCTACGAACGCTGCCCTGGGTGGGGGAACCGCATGTGGACACCCCCACTGGGCCTTCGGTGGAGCTCCCTCTGGGGCTATGCGAACCGCTGCCCTTCGGGTGGTTGGGAACCGCATGCGAACACCCCCACTGGGGCCTTCGGTGCAGCTCCCTATGGGGCTACGAAACGCTGCCCTGGGTGGGGGAACCGCATGTGGACACCACCACTGGGGCCTTCGGTGGAGCTCCCTATGGGGCCACGAAACGCTGCCCTGGGTGGGGGAACCGCATGCGAACACCCCCACTGGGGCCTTCGGTGGAGCTCCCTATGGGGCTACGAAACGCTGCCCTGGGTGGGGGAACCGCATGCGAACACCCCCACTGGGGCCTTCGGTGGAGCTCCCTATGGGGCTACGAAACGCTGCCCTGGGTGGGGGAACCGCATGCGGACACCCCCACTGGGGCCTTCGGTGGAGCTCCCTATGGGGCTACGAAACGCTGCCCTGGGTGGGGGAACCGCATGCGAACACCCCCACTGGGGCCTTCGGTGGAGCTCCCTATGGGGCCACGAAACGCTGCCCTGGGTGGGGGAACCGCATGTGGACACCCCCACTGGGGCCTTCGGTGGAGCTCCCTATGGGGCCACGAAACGCTGCCCTGGGTGGGGGAACCGCATGCGAACACCCCCACTGGGGCCTTCGGTGGAGCTCCCTATGGGGCCACGAAACGCTGCCCTGGGTGGGGGAACCGCATGCGAACACCCCCACTGGGGCCTTCGGTGGAGCTCCCTATGGGGCTACGAAACGCTGCCCTGGGTGGGGGAACCGCATGCGAACACCCCCACTGGGGCCTTCGGTGGAGCTCCCTATGGGCCACGAAACGCTGCCCTGGGTGGGGGAACGCATGCGGGCACCTCACTGGGGCCTTCGGTGGAGCTCCCATCTGGGGCTACGAAGCGCCCCTGGGTGGGGGACCGCATGTGGACACCCCCACTGGGGAACCGGTACGTGTGGGAGCACCCTATGGGGCACGACGGTGGCTGCCCTCTGGAGAACCGAAACATGGGTGGGGGAACCGCCCATGGGGCCTTCGGTGGAGCTGGGGCCTTGGGGGTACGAAACGCTGCCCTGGGTGGGGGAACCGCATGTGGACACCCCCACTGGGGCCTTCGGTGGAGCTCCCTATGGGGCTACGAAACGCGTGAGGGGTGTGCCGAGAGCAGAGGCAATGAGGGGGAGGAGGGCGAGGAGGAGGAGAAACGCGGGGCACCGTCTCTTCAAAACGAGGACCCAACACCACAGGATGGTTGGGAAATATTATTACGAATTCTACTACGACAACTACGACTACTACTACTACTAATACTACGACTACTCATACTACTACCACTACTACCAGTACTACGACCCGTACGACTACTACTACTACTACTACTACTACTACTACTACTACTACTACTACTAGTACTATTACTACTAGTACTACTACAACTACCACCACGATTACGACTACGACACCGACTACGACTACTACTACTATTACTACCACTACTGTTACTACTAGTACTACTAGTACTACTAGTACTACTTCTATTACTACTACTACTATTACTACTACTTCTTCTTCTTCTACTACTACTACTACTTACTACTACTACTACTACTATCAGTATTACGACTAATACTATTACAACCGTGCCTACGACTACGACTACTTCCACTGCGGCTACTACTACCACCACTACTCCTACTACTACTACTACTACTACTACTACTGCTACTATTTCTACTACTACATCTACAACTACTACGACTACGACTACTACTTCTACTGCTACTAGTATTACTACTACTGCTACTACTATTCCTACTTAGTTCACTACTACTACGAGTCTTACTACTACTGCTACTGCTACTACTACTAGTACTGCTGTTACGACTGCTGCGGCTACTAAGGCGACTATGGCTATTACGACTACTACTTCTACTAGTACTACTACTACTACTACTGTTACTACTACTATCACGACTACGAATACTATTCTTTCTAGTAATAATACTACTACTACTAGTAGTGCTACGACTAGTACGACTACGACTACTACTACTACTACTACTACTACTACGACTACTACTACGACCACTACTATCATTACTACTACTACTACTACTACTACTACGACTACTATTACGATTACGACTGCGACTACGACACCGTTTACGACTACTACGATTATTGCTACTACTACTAGTGTTACTACGACTACTACTAATACCATTTTTAGGTTTAAGACTACTACAACGGCGACTGCGACTACGACTATTTCTACTACGACTATTACTACCACCACTACTACTACTAATCCTACTACTACTACTACTACTACTACGACGACTACTACTACTACTACTACTACTACTACTACTACTACTTGTACTACTACTACTACTACTACTACCACTTCCATTACTACTACTACTACTACTACTACCGCTACTACAATTGCTCTTTTGCACGACTTCTACGAGTATTACTACTACTACTACTACTGCTACTACGACCACTACTACTACTACTACGACTACTACTACGACTACCACTACTACTACTACTACTACCACTACTACTACTATTACTACTACTACTACTACTACCATTACGATTACTACTTCTACTACTACTATTATTATGGCTACTACTACTACGACTACTACGACTACTAGGACCACTACGACTACGATTACGACGACTACTGCTACCACCACTACTACTCTTACTACTACTACTACTACTCCTCCTACTACTACTACTACTACTACTACTGCGACTACTACGACCACTACGACTACTACTACTACTACTACTACTACTTCTACTGCTTCAACTACTCCTACTACTTCAACTACGTCTACTACTACTACTTCTACTACTACTATTACTACTACTACTACTACTGCTACTACTACTACTACTACTACTACTGCTAGTACTAGTACTAGTACTAGGAGGACCCATTTGCATATTTCTGAATCGATGCAATTCGGTGCGTTTTTGCTTACGTTCCGGTGTCCTCTTGCTCATCTTATCGTAGTGCTCGTGCGCAGACCAAAAACTGAAACCGATTCCAACTCGAGCACGCATGTTGGCTTCCAGATCCTCTGCGTTGACTTAAGGAGTGTCACTTGGTCTTCGCAGTCGTCTTGGGCTTCTCTACAATTAAAATCCTATTGTGGGGCTATCCCAAGATGGTTGGGATTGGGCCCTGTTTGCTTTTCGCACTGGTTGGGAGTGGTCCCAGTTGGTTGGGATTGGGCCCAGTGGGTTGGGATTGGGCCCACATGCGGAAGAGCCCCCCCGAAAAGAGACCCCCCTCCCTTTTATTACGAAATCTGGAGTATCTGGTGCTGTGCCCCGTGGATGCTGCAAAAAGCAAGTCCTCATTCTCCCGCTGGCCCCTTCAGGCCCTGCGCCGCCCCGTCCTGCCCGCCTGATCCTCCGGGCGTCCTCCCGAGGAGGAGGACGGAAGGCGAGGATCAAAGAAGCGCGACCAGCATACTCCAGATTTCGTAATAAAAGGGAGGGGGTCTCAACCCTCCCAGACGAGAAGTTTTAGAGCCCCCCCGTGGGAGAACCCTCCAAAACATCGTCCCCAGACCCCCCCAGGCCCTCCAAGATGGCCTGGAAGAGACCCCCCCCGAAATGAGACCCCCCTCCCTTTATTACGAAATCTGGAGTAACAAATTGTCGAGCTACACTGTCAATGCCTCGCTCCCCTGGGGCTTTGCTGTGCTCCTGCTCGTTCACATGTGTCACGTGTGCGGAGCTGCACTGTCCATGCCGCGCGTTCCGGTGGCTCTGCCGCGTTCCTGCTCGCAAGGCACCCCGCCAGAGGCGGCGGAGAGCTTGAGAGATCCACCCGCCTAAAGAGACCCCCCCCCGAGGCACAATGCAGCGACATCTCCCTCGACCAGGTCCTGTCCGAGTGCGGCCTGGGCGCGCCCACACGATGACTGCTGCCGCTTGCGCCGGCCTGCTGCGCTGGCAGGAGGAACAGCGAGGGATTGCGCGAAGGAGTGACGTTCGACGGGGTGGCCTCTGGTTCGGGGTCACTCGGCCACGCGCATAGGGGGGGAGCGGGAGGGCGGCAGGCTTCTCAGAAGCACCTTCGCCTCTTAGAAGGCGCGGGCCTTCTCCATAGATGCAAGGCTGGCGCCTTCTAAGAAGCAGGCTCCTTCTAAGAAGCCTTCCATCCCCCCCCTGCCCCCCTTGTGCGCGGCGCCGCCGATTCACAGGGGTCTCCAGGTCGGAAAGTCACACGATGTACACCAGGACGCCGGGTGAAGCAAGAGGTCACCGAGGCTTCGGAGTGCTTCCGTTGCGACGGTGCTTCAACGCCCTCGCTACACTCTGCTTCTCCACGAGTCTGATGGGGCAGAACCTCGGTGTATAATCATGGTGACATCACAAGGATCTTGGTGCAGACGGATCGCGGGAAAGGAGCGTCTTTCATGAGGGTTGCATCACGGATGGTGTCCGTGGGAGGGGTTTGGTCATACGGGGAACCCAGATTACGTGGCAACCGAACGCGTCATATACAGTGAGCGGCTTGAATAAGGAACACTTTTTTTCAAAAGGGGCTCGGTCGTTCCTTAGGCTTGCATTCGTTACGTACAGTTCCTTATGCGTTATTTGTTCTTTCTCGGTCCTTATGCGTTATTCCTTGGGATAAAAAGGGGTTCGTTCCTTATTTATCGTTCCTTAAGTCAGGCCGATGACTGTACACCAGGGGAGAGAACACGTGCAATGGATTATAGTGCCTACTCAGGCCGTGCGATTCGCCGGGTGGCCTGGCGCGCGGGTGAATAAGTTAAATGTGGCGCAGGCGGTGGATCAGTGAGCAAGGTTCGTGGACTTTTTGGGCCACCTTCCAGATCCAAGGTTCGTCGGCGTCGTTGGTGTCGGCGTCGGCGTCGGCGTCGGCGTCGTCGTTCTCGTCGTCGGCGTCGTCGTCGTGGGCGTCGTCGTCGTCGTCCTCGTCGTCCTCTCGTTGTTGGAGCCAGCGTCGTTGGCGACGGCGTCGGCGTCGGCGTTGTGGTCGGTCTCGTCGTCGTCGTCCTCGTTGTCCTCCTCCTCGTCAGAGTCGGCGTCGTCGGCGTCGTCGGCGACGTCGGCGTCGTCGTCGTCCTCGTCGTCCTCGTTGTCGGCGTCGTCGGCGTCGGCGTTAGCGCCCGCGCTGGTGTCGGTGTCGGCGTCGGCGTCGGCGGGGTCGTCGTCGGCGTCTTTGTTGTCGTCGGTGTCGGCGTCCTCGTCGTCCTCCTCGTCGGCGTCGTCGTCGTCAGCGTCGTCGTCGGCGTCGTCGTCGTTGTTGTTGTCGTCGTCCTCGTCGTCCTCGTCGTCGTCCTCGTCGTCTTCGTCGTCGTCGGAGCCCGCGTCGTTGGCGACGGCGTCGGCGCCCGCGCTGGCGTCGGCGTCGGCGTCGGCGACGGTGTCGGCGTCGGCGTCGGCGTCGTCGGATTCGTCGTCGTTTTCGGCGTCTGCGTCATCGTAGTCGTCGGCGTCGGCGTCGGCGTCGCCGTCGTCGTCGTCGTCGTCGTCGTCGTCGTCGTCGTTGTCCTCGTCGTCCTCCTCGTTGTCGGCGTCGGAGTCGTCGGCGACTGCGTCGGCGCCCGCGTTGGCGTCGGCCTCGGCGTCGTCGGAGTCGGCGTCGGCGCCCGCGCTGGCGTCGGCGTCGGCGTCTTTGGAGTCGTCGTCGGAGTCGTCGTCGTCGGCGACGTCGGCGTCGTCGTCGTCCTCGTCGTCCTCCTCGTTGTCGGCGTCGGCGTCGTCGGCGTCGGCGTCGGCGTCGGCGTCCGCGCTGGCGTCGGCGTCGGCGACGGGGTCCTCGTCCACGTCGGCGTCGGCGTCCTCGTCCTCGTCGGAGTCGGCGCCCTCGGCGTCGGCGTCGTCGGAGTCGCCCCCGTCGTCGTCGTCGTCGGCGTCGGCGTCGTCGTCGGCGTCGCCGTCGGCGTCGTCGTCGGCGTCGGCGACGGCGTCGGCGTCGTCGTCGTCGGCGTCGGCATCGGCCGGGTCTTCGTCGTCGTTTGTGTAGGCGGCGACGGGGTCGGCGCCAGCGCTGGCGTAGGCGTCGGCGTCGTCGTCGTCGTCGGCGTCGTAGTCCTCGTCGTCGGCATCGGCGTCCTTGGTGTCGGCATCGGCGCCCGCGCTGGCGCCGGCGTCGTCGGAGTCGGCGTCGGAGCCGGCGTCGGCGTCGGCATCGGCGTCGGCGTTGTCGTCGGCGTTGGCGTTTGCGTCGTCGTTTGCGTTGGCGGCGACGGGGTCGGCGCCCGCGCTGGCGTCGGCGTCGTCGTCGGCGTCGTCGTCGTCGGCGTCGTCGTCCTCCTCGTCGTCGGCGTCGGCGTCTTCGGTGTCGGCGTCGGCGCCCGCGCTGTCGTCGGCGTCGTCGGAGTCGTCGTCGGCGTCGGAGCCGGCGTCGGCGTCGGCATCGGCGTCGGCGTTGTCGTCGGCGTTGGCGTTTGCGTCGTCGTCGTCGTCGGCGTCGTCGGCGTCGGCGGCAGCGTCGGCGCCCGCGCTGGCGTAGGCGTCGGCGTCGGCGCTGGCGTCGGCGGAGTCGTCGGCGTCGTCGTCGTCGTCGGCTTCGGCGTCGTCGGCGTCAGCGTCGGCGCCCGCCATGGCGCCGGCGTCGGCGTCGGCGTCGTCGGAGTCGGCGTCGGCGTCGGCGTTGGCGTCGTCGTCGTCGGCGTCGGCGTGGTCGTCGCCAGTCGCAGGGAGGTCCCTACAACCGCGGCCCGATCTCACGCAGGGGCACGCGTGTAATGGCTCTGCGTGCTTCATGGCTTGTAGCCACGAGGCTGCATTTTGCCATGGAGCGGCGCGAAGGCGTGAGAGAACGGAGCACGCTGCGAAGAGCAAATTTGTGTGGCCTCATTCCCAACCGCTGCGCGAAGGTTTTTTTCACAAGCGCTTGCTGGTGACCTGCGGCTTCGGCTTCTCCGCTGCGGCCGTGGAGGCGGCGCCAAGCGGAGGAGCAGGAGAGGATGCGGAGCAGCCGCCAGGGACGCATGGATCCGCCAAACCCAGCTTAGGGCAACCTCGCGGGCAGTTTTCGTATTGGCTCCGTTTCCGTTTTTGTTCGTTGCGTGGGGGGCCGACCGAGAGTCTAGAGGCGCACGCAAGCGCTGTTCTGGGGATGTTCTCTGACTGTTTTCAGATCGAAACGAAAACGGGACGAATGAACACACCGATGTTTTGGGGGGCTTTTCGAGGAGAAGTTTGGTTGGGGTGATGAGAATTATGATACTGTCTGTGATGATGATGAAGATACTGATGCCTATGCTGATTATGATATTGTGATGATGAGGATGCTGGTGATGATGCTGATGGTGATGATGATGGTGATGATGTTGTTGATGATGGTGTTGATGATGCTGATGATGAGTACAGGAGGAAGGAAGAGCGGGGCGAACCTTGGAGAAACCGTGTGTGTTTCAATTGTTTTCTGGTGGCGTGTGTGGACGGAGCTTGCAAACACTTTACGAGCTGATCGTGCCATTTGTTTATCATCCTGTCGGCGAGCAGGGAGGAACGGGAGGAGGATGGGGAGTCCACGGCGTTGGAGGACGCGTCAGAGGAAACCATTTCCATAGTCCAATGCTCACAGCTGGCATTCAGATGTCCTGGGGCCGTCGGAAGCAAAACTTAATATTAAGAATTTTGAGAATGAGGACGCGGATGGAGAGCGGGCGGCTGAGAGTCAGGAAGATGGATTTCGTTGTGGCACCGTCGTGTGAGCGGAGTGGTGGCGACGAGCAGGCAGCGGCTCGATGTCCGCAAGGCCAGCGCTGAGTTCTCCTCGTCCTTGCCGTCCTCCTCTGTCGTCCTCCTCGCCCTCCTCGTACCCTCGGACCCCTCGGTGCCCCTCGGCGCCCCTGCTCGCCCCCCCTGGCGGTTGCCGCCTCTGGCTCCTCCGTCCTTCCCTCCACTCCCCCCTCCCTCCTCCCCCCCTTGGCATCGCTCGGACGTGTGCATGCTTCCTTCGGCGAGGACCATCGAGGAGCATCCTGGATCATTTGGCGACGAAGCCACGCACGAAACAGAAAAAAAAGCCCAGGGAATGGACGTCCGAGCGATGGCCGGCCCCCCCTTCGCGGGGACACCGCCACGGCGCCGGAAGGAGAGCCACTCGGGCCCGGGATAGGGGCTCCAGCTCTCGGGCCTCTTGGGGCCCGTGCCCCCGCCCCCCCGCGGGGAGGGCCCGCCGAGACCGCGGCATGCCCGCTCCCGGGGCGGCGCGCCCCGCTCGCCCCTTTGGGCCTCTCGGCGGCCCCCAAACGGGGCGGTGACCACACCGTGCGGTGAGTCGGTGGGGGTTCGGGGTCACCGCACGGTTTTGGGACTCGCGTCGTTCTCCGAGGACGTCTCGGGCGACGGGGGCCTCCAGGGTCCCGAGACCGTGCGGTGACGGACCGTGCGGTGAGGTCTTGGGGGAGTTCGAGGTCACCGCGCGGTCGGTCACCGCACCGTTTCGGGACCCCAAAGCCTCCCGGGAGCCTCTCGCAGCCACGGCCGGTTCCGCGGCGAAGAACGGAGCAGGAGGGACCCCAGAAGCGACGACGACGGCGACGGCGACGGCGACGGCGACGGCGACGCCGACCACCACCACCTCGACGACGAAGGTCCACGGGCCTGGTGGGAGGGCCGCCGCCGTATCGGCCGGCCCCCCTCCGACAGGCGACCTGCGAAGGCGGCGGCGGCGGCGGCGATGCCGACGGCGGAGAGGCAGCGGAGCCCGGGGGAAGGGGAAGCGACCCCGCCACCAGGTGGAACACTTCCAGCGAGGAGGTCCACGATGCCTCCCCGAGCTGGGAATGGGGGATGTCGCCAGAGAGAGGGGGGGTCCACACCACCAGGGGGAACCCCCTCCTCCCGCTCGTGGTCCGCATTTCCCTGTTCCGGGTAGGGGATAGGCTACAGAATTCATGTGCCCCAGAGTTAAGATCGTCTGTGAAACTACAGAAACGCAGTAGCACGCATCTGAACGTACCAACATCATGCTGCGCGCTTTTGGCGAAAAGCACCGCTTTGTGGCACATGAATTCTGTAGTCGACCCTCAACCCGACGGTTCCTACGGAGCCGCCGACAGCGGCGACCTCCCAGCGGCTTCTGCCGCTCTGCCCCGCGGCCGCGGGCGCGCGCCTCTGGCTCCTCGTGGCGCGCGCGCCGCGCGGGCCGCCAGGTCGTCCTGACGGCGTTCCTGTTCACGGAGCTGGAGGCGCGGCGCCGGGGGCGAGGTGAGAAGGAGAAGGCCTTCTCAGAAGGCGGCGCAGCTTCTCAGAAGCCATCGCGCCTTCTGAGAAGTGTCCGTTTTCGTTTCTCGAGAGGGCACCGCGGCCGTCATTTTCCAGGCCTGCGCCCGCCAGGTTTGGGCCTGATGCGGTTTTCACTGAACCACGTTTTGCTAAAGGGGGTTCTGTCCATCCCCGAGCCTTCTCAGAGGACGGCGGCACTTCTCAGAAACCACGGCGCATGAGAAGTTTTGTGTGTCCTCGGGGAAAGCTCAGGACATTTCTCAGAAGGCTGGGGGACTTCCGAGCCTTCTAAGAAGGCCCGCCCTTTCTCACTTCGCGCCCTTTCTCACTTCCCCCCCTCGCTCTCCAGCCGACCGATGCTGAGGGTTGCCCGTGTCCACCGCCTGCCGCGAGCGCCGAACATAGCTTTCCAATCCGTGCCCTCGCGGTGTTTGGGTTCCAGGGCGGGATCCCGCGGATACGCGGTCGCACGGATGCGCTCCGCGCGGTGCATCCGCGAAACAGTTCCCCGCATCCGCGGGGTCGCGGTCCAATGGGCCCCGCCCGCGAGGCTGCTGGTACGGATCTGTTTCTCGCCCTCGAGCCGTGGGTGCGGACCTGCCTGGGCCTCGGGAGGGGGCGGGTGCGCCTCCATTCGGGACCCCTGGGGCGCGTGAGGTGCAGGCGAGTCCCCCCCCCCCCCTGGGGGACCCAGGACGTCGGTTTCTCTGGCGGTGGATCTGGACCAATCCCCGTCTCGCAGTCGTGCGCCAGTGTGCGCCGTCGCGGCGCGGCGCGGCGCGGCGCGGCGGTGGCGTTCGGGGCTCGCTGCCGCTCCTCCGCGGTGGCGGACTTCGCCGAGATCGGAGGGAGGAGGAGCGACCGCCGCCGAGGAGGTCCGCGATGCCTCCCCGAGCTGGCAGTCGGAAGCGTCTTGGTCGGAATGCCGGAACACAGCGGCACCGTGGTGGTGCCGGTGTCGTTCTTCGCTGCCCCTGCGGGCGCGCGCAAAACTCTGAGGGGTCTCAGGGCGGAAGGCGGAAGGGCCGCGACCTATGCAGCGGGCCTCCCAAGTCGTCGTGGGATCATGTTGGGACCGCCACGGGAGTGTCCTGGGCCTTGACATCCTCGGGCGTGTGCGTTCTCTCTCGGCGAGGGCCATTCGTGAGCATCTGGGATCATCTCGCAAAAAAAAGAGTAGACGCGCGAAGTCGAAAGATGTTCGGGCAAAATGGACGTCCCAGCGATGTCTAGGGGCTCCCGAGCCACCAGGGACGCTCTTGAGGGCTTCTCTGGGCCGCTGGGGGGCAGCCCGAGGCAATGTAGGGGCCTGTCCTGGGGCCTCCGAGGCCTGTGGTTATCGTATGGACTCCTCGGATCATCCTGGGGCCGACTTGGGGCAGAGGCCTCTGGGGGCCATCTCGAGGCCATCCCGTGCACTGCTGGGAGCAATGCAGGTGGCAAGCAGTCAGAACGTCAGTGTTTCGATGTCTGCTTCAGCTTTGTGTCTCCTCGGAGCACCTCGGCGTCACCCCGGTGGCTGATCCAGCTGCCTGGGGCAAGTCGCGCCACCGTGCCAGCCAGAAATTCGGGGTGGCGACTGTTTGAGGAGGCACCCCGTGTGACAACTCTTGGCATAAGACTTGGGATAGCCGTGATGAGGATGAGGAGCATGAGTTATGAGGATTATGAGGACGATGGAGATTCTGATGATGATGAGGATGGTGAGGATGATGGTAATGATGGTGGTGGTGGTGGTGATGTTGATCATGATGTTGCTGCTGCGGCTGCTGCTGCTGAATATGATGAGGAAGATGACAGGGAGGATGAGGAGCAGGAGGTGGAGGAGGAGGGAGAGGAGGATTAGGAGGAGGAGGATTAGGAGGAGGAGGAAGAGACATGCCGTCTCACACGTGTCAGCTTTCATCTTCACTTCTTGAGGAGTTCTCATGGAATTCATTTGCGCCGTCTTGGACTCCTGGGCCCGTCTTGGGGCCCTTTTTGGCATTCTTGGGGCCCTCTTAGGCCATCTTGGGGCTCTCTTAGGCAGTCGTCAGGCCCTCTTGGCCATATGGAGGGTGTCAGGGAGCCGTCGCGGGACCGTCTTGGTGCCGTCTTGGGCCGTCGAATGGCCTTCTAAGGCCGTCTTGGGTCCCTCCGGAGGCCCTCTTGGACCGTCTTGGATGCCTCTTGGGCCACTGTAGGGTCCTATTGGGCCAGTGACCCTCTTGGGGGCTTCTTGGGCTTCTTGAGCCATCTTAGAGGCTCCTTGAGCCGTCTTGAACTGACAGGAGTCCGAGAGAGCTGGCAATGCGAGCATGCTTCAAAAGCCTAGGGGATGGTTATCATCTTGGCTTCTTCGGACCCTCTTGGGGGTCCTCTTGTGGCCCTGTGGGTCTCTCTTGGGGGCGTCCTGCGCCATCTTGAGGCCGTCTTCGAGGCATCTCGGGCTATCTTGGTGTCCTTGGCTGCCAGCATGGGCCGCCTTCTAAGCTCCGGACGCGGACGCAGAGCTTCTCACGAGGGATCGTGTCTTGGGATCCCCGAAACTGGGTGGTGAGATACCAGGTGGCGACCTGGAATCCCCAAAAAGGTCACCGCTGGGTTTGGGGACGCGGGGTCACCATCGGGTTTTGTGACTCCTGGACCCACCAGTGTCCGGGACATCCTCGGAAAACCGCACGAGTCCCCAAACCGGGTGGTGACACCAAATCGCCCGAGACTCACCGCCAGGTGTTGTCACCACCACGTTTGGGGACTACCAAGTGTCCTCGGGAGCGCGGATCCACTGATTCATGCGATGGACCGTGGCCTCGCCAAGGAGGGGAGATGCACGCCGCTGGCCGCGAGCCGCAGGACGCGAGTATAGTGTCGGGGGTCTCTCTCCCCCCGAAAAACCCAACCGGACAGCACTTGGCATTCTATCACGCCTTCAACTTGCTGGCGGGCACGTTGGCTGATTCCAGGCATCCCTTGTACCGTCCTGGGCCTCTCGCGGGCAGTCTTGCGTTGCCCCATTTGGTCCGCACAGCTGCGCTCCTAGAGGCTTTCTTCGGGCACTGTCGGCCGCCCGGAGGCGCGCCCCCCCTCCCCCCCGAAGATCTTCGTGGCCAACTGCACGAAGTACAGTGAGGCCGCCAAGACGTTCATGGATCGGGGGAGCGTAAGACCCGGGTTTGCCAGGACTCGGGTTCGCCATCGTTTTTTGACGACCGCGCCTCGGATTTTGACGAGGAGGAGTTTCGTGGGATGTCTGCAGCGGGAGGCCTCGTCAAAATGCAGGCTCGGCCTCGCCATTTTTTTGACGACCTCGTCGGGGATTTCCGAGTCCCCTGTACCCAGGTCTTACGTCCCCCTGAATGGAGGACGAGATGGTGAAGGAATACGACCTGGTCGCCTTCAGTGAGCACCACCTCCGTGGGCCAGCGGCGGAGATGGAGGCGAACAGGCTCGTGCAGTATGGGTGGCGTTCCCACGGCACGTGGGCATCAGCGAGGCAGTCACCACGCTCCAAAGCAGGCACAGTAGGAGGGACATGCATTCTCAGAAGGAGGTATTCTGATAACCCCAGGAAGCATTTAAGAACCCCCCCCCCTCCGGCAAATCGATAACCCTTCCGCACCCTGGAAGCGTGACCTGGCACCAGGAGCCCTCCGTTGTGTCCGGGTGCTACAGCTATCGTTCGGTTATTTCGGCCCCTCGGAATATCGAATAAACAATGCGGTGCTACGATATCGCCGGGGGTGATACACGTATTCACCTGCCAGATGCGCAGGGCCACGGCATATACGCCAAGGAGTTCTACGACATTTCTGTGGTCATGTGGAGACTTACGGGCCAACATATGGCATTCATCACCGCATACCTCACAGCCTCGATCGGGCTTGCAGATGATAACATCCGCAAGATGGAGCACCTCCTGCAGATCACGCGCAGCCTGGGTAATATTCATTGGATGACTTACTGCGACCTCAACAATACGCCACAGGAATTCGTGGCGACGCCATGGTTAAGCTCCTCGGCGGCATGATTGTAGTGCTTCAGCAGATGAGTTTTACATGCAGCAGTGCAACGGGTCGCATCCTCGACTGTTCCATCATACCACCCAACTTCAGGCCACTACTCCGAGCAGTGCGAGCGGAGTATGATGTGCCATTGTCTCCACACATTGGGGTGATCATCGAGATATGGGCCAGGCCATCCACTATCACAATACGCAAACCGATGCTTCCTGCCAAGAGACCCACACCCATGACGGAGACCAGGCAAGAAAAGGGCATCAAGCGTAAGCAGAGGGACCGCATGCAGCACCAGGAGATGGCCCAATATGGCGGCACGGACCACAATGACGACAATGGGTTGGAAATCTATGAAACGGAGACCGTGGGCATGCGCTGCGACCCGCAGCTTTGGGACCAGTGCGGGGAAGATGAGGCCGAGGTCCACATCCGAGGGCCCCCACAGTGGGTCCAGACCTGCTTGACAAGCTTTACGGGAAGTGCGCTACTGCAGCTGAAAAGGGCGCTCTCGCTCATCACAGGGGGCCCACTCAATCAAGAGCGCGTCGTGGACAGCCAATTACATACCGTGAAGTACGGTTTCCATAACACATTGCAGTGACACCAAGGGGAGACACCAAGAATGACCAGTTGCACCAAACAAGTACATTGTGAACGTCCTTGCACCAACGCTGCCGTGATGGCGCAATCTTGCTCCCAAGGCACCCACTGGACAGCCAGGAGCAACCTCCGACATGACCCTGACCCAGACGCGCGTTAGTGGAGAACGCCCAGAAGTGGAACGAAGCCCGGGACGCCATACGGTTGCGAGCTGAATGGCACGCGCGACAGTTATGGAAGCAAGTTCATGATCACGTTGGGCAGTGGACGCGCACACCACTATCAGGCAACATGCGTGGAACCCACAGATATGTCAGCAACCATGAACTTCGAGACCCGCAAGACACAACGGTGGACCCTACCACCAGAGAAGAGACGGGAGCCTTAAGGGAGGCAGCTGGATGCCGTGCGGGAGTTTGGCAAACACGGTGGCAGCGATTCAACAACAGCCAGCTGCTGGAGACTGCAACGGCAGAGCTGCGGCAAGTTGCGCAAGAAGAGCTACCACACATACATTTATACGACGCGAGCGGCCCGAACTTCAGGCCCACCACTGCACGTGGACCTGATCAATGACAACCGCCCGAGATCAATGCCTTGCCCGGCGACGCCACGCGCCGCCTAGTCTTCGCCATCAACTCTTGCGAAAGAGATTTGTCCCAACCATCCTGTGGTGTTAGGTCATCGTTTTGAAGAGACGGTCTCCGCGTTCCTCTTCTCCTCCTCTTCCCCCTCCTTTCCACCGCCCGCATGCGTTCCCCACACCCATTTCGGCACATCCCTCACACGTTTCGTGGCCCCATAGGGAGCCACACCGAAGCCCCCGGTGGGACCGCTCGCATGCGCCCCCCACGCCCAATGTGGCATTTTCGGCCACCCAGTACAGCGCTTCGTGGCCCCATAGGGAGCTCCACCCAAGCCCCCAGTGGGACCGCCCGCATGCGACACCCACGCCTAATTTGGCACTTTCACACACCCAGTACAGCGTTTCGTGGCCCAATAGGGAGCCCCACCGAAGCCCCCAGTGGGACCGCCCTCGTGCGTCCCCCACATCCAATTTGGTATTTTCACAAAACCAGTACAGCGTTCCGTGGCCCCATAGGGAGCTCCACCGAAACCCCCAGTGTGGCCGCCCGCACGCGTCCGCCACACCCAATTTGGCATTTTCACTCATCCAGTACAGCGCTTCGTGGCCCCATAGGGAGCTCCACCGAAGCCCCCAGTGGTACCGCCCACATGCGTCACCCACGCCCAATTTCGCATTTTCACTCACCCAGTACAGCGCTTCGTGACCCCATAGGGAGCTCAGCTCCTCCGAAGCATCCAGTGGGACCGCCCACATGCGTCCCCCACATCCAATTTGGTATTTTCACCAACCCAATACAGCGCTTCGTGGCCCAATAGGGCGCCCCACCGCTGCTCCCAGTGGGACCGGCCGCATGCGCCCCCCACGCACAATCAGGCATTTTCGCTCACCCAATACAGCGCTTCGTGGTCCCATAGGGAGCTCCACCCAAGCCCCCAGTGGGACCGCCCGCATGCGTCCCCCACGCCCAATTTCGCATTTTCACCCACCCAGTACAGCGCTCCGTGGCCCCATAGGGAGCTCCACCGAAACCCCGCGTGGTACCGCCCACATGCGTCACCCACATCCAATTTGGCATGTTCACCCACCCAATACAGCGCTTCGTGGCCCAATACAGAGCCCCACCGAGGCCCCCAGTTGGACCGCCCGCATGCGTCCCCCACACCCAACTTGGCATTTCCACCCACCCAGTACAGCGCTTCGTGGCCCCATAGGGAGCCCCACCGAAACCCCCTGTGTGACCGCCCGCGTGCGTCCCCCGCACCCAACTTGGCATTGTCACCCACCCAGTACAGCGCTCCGTGCCCCCATAGGGAGCCCCACCGAAGCCCCCATTGGGACCGCCCTCGCGCGTCACCCATGCCCAATTTAGCATTTTCACTTGCCCAGTACAGCGCTTCGTGGCCCCATAGGGAGCTCCACCGAAGCCCCCCGTGGGACCGCCCGCGCGCGTCCCCCACAGGGAGCTCCACCGAAGCCCCCAGTGGGACCGCCCGCGTGCGTCCCCCACACCTAATTTGGTATTTTCACCGGCCCGGTACAGCGCTTCGTGGCCCCATAGGGAGCCCCACTGAACCCCCCAGGGTGCCGCCCGCATGCGTTTCCCATACTCAATTCGGCATTTTCGCCGACCTTTTTACAACGCTTCGCGGACCCATCGGGAGCTCCAACGAAACCCCCAATGGGACCGCCCGCGTGCGTCCCACACGGGTAATTTGGTAACTTCACCCACCCAGTGCAGCACTTCATGGCCTCATAGGGAGCTTCACCGACGGCCCCAGTGCTACCGCCCGCATGCGTTCCCCCCCCCGCCCAGCGCCGCGCTTCATGGCCCCATAGGGAGCTTTACCGAAGAAGATATTCACAATTGCGGTACCCACAACTTTATATGGTTGGGTCTTTCGCCAGGATACTTTTTGGCCGCGCCAGTTCTACCGCATCTGGTACCGCCTTCTGGCCAAGGCAGGGTCCAACACGGCAGGAGAAGACAGCAAACCCCGAAATGCAAAGCTGGTGTGCAGCAACGGCTGGGTAAAATGGCAAACGCCGAAATGTAAAGCTGGTAGTTGCAGCAGCCCAGGGGCCTTCGGCGCTCAGGGCAGCTATTCTGCCGATGGCGCTAGCTGAGACCAGTGCCAAGCTCGAGACCTCGCGCTACAGTCGGGGCCCTGAAGAAGGAACCCTTTTGGTTGGGGAGGGGCTCCGCGTTCTGGGCTCGACTCCCCTCCCCCTTCTCGCTCCTCACCTCCCCCCTCGTCCTCACCCCCCTCCCTTTCGCACGTTGACCTTCATCCTCGCCCTCCTTCCCCCCCCCATGTCCTTCCCTTCCGCCCCCTCCCCATCTTTCGAGTAGAGGATCGACTACAGAATTGATTCACCCCAAAGTTCGTCTCCTCTCCGAGTCTACGGAGCGATACTTCTCATTCTCCGCCGATCTGCGACACTTTTCTACGCACTCGACGCAGATCCCATGGGGAAGCTCCAGTCTGGGGCGCATCGATTCTGCCGTCGATCCCCTGCTCGAATCCCCTCCCCGACCTCCTCCTCCTCCTTTTCCTCCTCCTCCTCCTCCTCCTCCTCCTCCTCCTCCTCCTCCTCCTCCTCCTCCGCGCCCCTCCACCATCCTCATCTCGACCATCCCCCCCCCATCCTCCGCTGTTCCTCCTCCTCCTCTTCCTCCTCCCCTTGGGGCCTCTGGGGGCAAGCTCCAAGCGGTCGCCACCAACTTAGGTTGTGATTTTACGGCGGGTGAGTCTTTCGGGTGCAATGGCGCTGCTGCTAAGCGCAAGGTCAGGCTCAGGACGGCGACGGTCAGAGGGCAACGCCTGCGTAAGCTTACTGCGACCGCGGGTCAACGATGTCGCAAGATTGTTACCACTGGGCTCCTTCCCGCTGGGGCCTTCGGGGCCGCTGTTGACGGTCTCAGCAACAAGTCCTTGTATAGGCTGCAATCTCTTGAGATTGCTCAAATCACTCCTTGTTCCTCCAGAAAATCCAGGAGTGCGGCCTTTGCCCTCACGGGGTCCAGGGCCGACCGTTGGGCCCTCGGGCCCGTCCTCAGGTGGGCCCAGGAAGTGTGGAACACCACCCTCGGCAAGTATGTGACCCCAGGGACCATTGGACTGCTCGAGCTCAAACAGATTTATAACCACGTGCAGCCAGCAGGACAATTGAGTTATAACGCCGTGCGAGGACCACTCAGCGCGGCAGCTCACGCGCTTCATCGTATTGGTTGGAGTTTCACATCCGCGTTTACGCTGCAGGACCACTTTGGCAGGACAGTCAGGCTCACTGACACCTCGCCGAGCCTGCTTTCCGACTTGCTTCACCAAGGATGCCAGAGGAGATGGGAAACTATTGCCGCAAAGAGCATACCCAGCCCAACCCCCATGAAGAGAGTGTGTTTTGACGTTGTTCGTTCTCTGCTTTCCCCCAAAAGCAAGAAGTTACTCCCCAGGTTTAAGGCTATCCTCCAAACCCTTGTGGTCCAGGGATGGTGGACTGAAGAAAAACTCGCTCAGCTAGGCTATGATGTGCCTAACGAATGCCCGCTCTGTAAAGCCTTCGGGGACACTATACACCATCGTCTCTTCTCTTGTCAACATCCAGAGGTAGTCGCCCTCAGGACAGAGCTGCTGCCGCCAGACGTTCTGCAGGCCGCGCTGGAGGCGCCAGAGAACAGCCCCCTGTACTGCTTCGGTCTTTTCGAGCACCCAGGGGAGCAGCATGATGATTTTCCGCTGCCCAGGGAGAAGCCCATTGTTCGATTTGTCAGACACGACGGTCAGCCAGACACGGTACCGCACTTCGGGGGGCTCACGGGAA